CGGAGCTCTCTGCTATACGTCCACCCGTTCCGCCATCTTGTTTGTTCTCTGATTCTCCTTTTTGTTGTTCTTGTTAGGTGCCATCGAGTCAGTACCGACTCATAGAGACACTTTGCACAACAGAACAAATCACTGCCTAGTCCTGGGCCAACATCACTTTGCCAATCCATGTCCCTGATCCTCCACCGTACCAAACATATCCTTCTCCAGGGACTGGATGAATCCTCCAGACAATATGTCTGAAGTATAAAAGGTGAAGTTTGGCCATCCTGGCCTCCAAGGAACACTCTGGCTATACTTCTTCCAACACAGATCTGTTGGTTCTATGTGCAGCCCATGGCACTTTCAATATTCTCCTCCAGCACCATAACTCAAAAGCATCAATTCTTGTATGGTCTTCCTTATTTCCTATCCAGCCTTCACATGCATATGGGGTTATTGAAAATACCATGGCTTGGATCAGTCGCACCTTAGTCCTCAAGCTGACATCTTTGCTCTTCGACACTTTAAAAAGGTCTTGTGCAGCAAATTTGCCTAATGCAATACATTGTGTCATATCAGTGTGCTAATGTTATAATTATCTTAAAGATCAAAAAAGTCCATTGCGTCAAATGGATTCTGACACATAATGACCAGATAGATCCCATTATGTTTTTTGGGGTTTATGAGATTATAAATCTTTTTGGGAACAGGCAGCCTCAACTTTCTCCCCAGTCGCAGCTGGTTGGTTTGAACTGCCACCCTTGTAGTTGGCAGTCCAGTGCTTAACATACCTTTCATACACAGTCTAGGGTTTTTTCTGTTTTGTAGATCTTTGCACAAGAACATTTAGTTTATATGTTTGTGCTCAAGTTACAAGTAAGTTTTTGTTTTACGTACTTAATTTGCCTGTGTATTCATGCTTCCCAGTAATCTTGATATTAAAATTGGTTTAGTTGATATGGCATGATTTTAACTATATTTTCAAATAATTATGCTATATTTTAAAGTAAGATGGCTAACATCAAATTATTAGCCTAACAAACAGTATAATATATGTATATAGTAATGAAAGACTTTGTTTCCTTGTATCTAGTTGGACCTGAAGTTCATAGTGAAACCAGATTTCTTATGTGTATGTATATACATGCATTCACATTTGAATACTTATCAGGCTTTTCCCCTAAGGACTGTCTTTTTCCTAGGCCTGGACCGGCGTCTGTTACACCTGTATTTTTGGCTCCTTTCCCACACTTTGCTTCTTTCCTACATTTCTGTCTTTACCATTTTACCTCCTGTGCTCTAGTTTTTAGCTCTCGATTCCACTATCTTTCTCCTACTTAGTAATTTTTACACCACACATTTGCAGCTTACACAGGACTCCAAAATGGCTTTGTCTTTCCATCATCATTCCTGTCCATGAAATTCCAGTTTTCAGGGTAACTCTGTGACTTACTTAGTGCTCCAGTCTGCGGTTTGACTGTTTCTCTCTTCCCTACCCCCTCCCCCAATTTACATGTATTTGTGAAAATACATTGCTCCAGCGGTGGTCCACTGCCAGCTTAGGGTGTGGCTAGAGTTATAGCTGCCTTTCCTTTATTTTCCTGTCTCTTATCACTATCCTTGCTGGAGAAAAGAAGCATGCTTGTCAGCTTGGTGTTCTTGAGAGTAGCACTGTGTTCTATGAAGTAAGAATCTGGCAACTGTTGTGTTCTTCTATAATCTTTGTTCCTTAGTGATAATTCACAGCCCTGTTTCTTATACATAACCCTGACCTGTGGCCTGCCCATTTGCCAGCATCTAAGAGATATCCTCCCCTTACTGGAAAAGGGACAAGACCTGGCTGCCCCATTAAAGGAGACTCTGACAAGCTTTCTGATTTATGTTATTGTCACTTCTTTCTGACCTTAGGAATGCTTGCTTTTAGCAGAGTAATTTTGTATTTAATCATTTGTAATAATTTATTGTTATCTAATGTGATCAATCATTTTTATTTGATTAACTTTTTATGGTTTGATTTGATTAAACACTATAGCTTACTTTCAGTTTTATAGTTTAGTTTTTATGACCATTTTTCAATAATTTTTCAGAAAATTTGTTTAATACTTTGTATTTGAGTTCGCTTCAGATAATTCTCCATTTTTAGGCTTTTGCTTCATTAAACCACTTTATCTTGATGGTAAAGTCAGCCCAGTTATTTCAGAGACAGTAGTGAGCAAAAGGGTTTTTTCTTTGTTTGTCTTAATGGTATGGTATGAAACAGAGACATGAGCTAGGAGGTAAAGAAATCTTCTCCAGACAAGTTAGTAGAACTTGATAGGAAACGAAGTAGCAAAGTCATGTCTATTGTGACAGTAGGTTTGTTACCTTCCTTATTGGCATTATGGTTGTCGTTGTTGTGAAGTGCCATCAAGTCAGTTCTGACCCATAGCGACCCTGTATATGGTTTCCGAGAAGCAGCTGGTGAGCTTGAACCACCTACCTCATAGTTCAAACAGCTCTGCAGTCTGGTGCATTATTCACAGTGCCACATTATGGTAGCAACTCTTTAGTTTGGAAGAACTGGATCAACAAAAATGAAGTCTCATATTTTTTTACCTGTAAGAGAATTTGAGAAACGCTATACATTTGATTATACAGTATAATATGTGAGTTCTGGTGTAAGCTGTGTACCAACTCATAATTAATATCTGTCAGGATATGCAGTCTACAAGAGGGTAGAAGGAATAGCCTTATTAATCCATCCAGACAGCGTGTAAAATAAATTTTTAATTTTTGTGGAAAATTCAAAGAGCAGTTTGCTGTGTTTCTCTGTGGTTTTCATAGACACACCTTTTTTTAATCCTTGGTTTTTCCCTGGGAACATTTGTCACAGAGTATTCTTTTTATTGTATTTACTACTCTGGTAGTGTAGTGGTTATGAAGCAGGCGGCGAACCTTAAGGTCAGCAGTTCGAAACTACCACAGGAGAAAGATGAGACTTTCTGCACCGGTAAAGATTTACAGCCTCAGAAACCCTGTATAGGGTCGCTATGGGTCGGAATCGACTCCACGGCACTTAACAACAACAACATACGTGAACTATATTTTAGACTTTATTTGGTCCTTTTGAGAACCCAGGGAAGATCTGTTCTTCTATTAAACCTTTTAAAATAGTTTCAAAAGACTAGGAACTCTTAGGGGTCAACTAAGGCTAACAAAGGTCAACTAGAGTAACAACAACGAAATGGAAATCAGAACCCTTGGGACCATATCCAAAATCAGCTTTTCATGGAATTAATATTTACCCAACCTTCTTGAGGTATAGTGTACATTTTTCAAGTTACTGGCAGATTTTTTTAATATTCTAACTATAAAACTGTGGTGCTGTAGAATAAGGCAGTGGACCGCAAGGTGGTTCAAACTCACCATCACTCCTTGGGAATCCTCTATGGCTCCCTCTGAGTTGGATCCAACTTGATAGCATTTAACAACAACAGCATAAAACTGAAGGCTCCTGGACCTTGAAAGTACTTTTTGCCTGACGTAGGAATCTTTTTTATAGGTGGTTGCGTGCTTTTTCTTAAGCATTTCCATTTCAGGAAGCCTATTTAAAAGCTAATCACAGCTATTAATATAATTCCTCTTATTCAGAGAGCGAGTGCTGAGAAAGCATACTAGTAGTGGTCATTAAAAGCCTTCAAAAAGAGCAGTGTTTGAACAAGTGCCTGTCTTCTGATTGTAAGCACTGGACACAAACCATAAAATTGGCAATTCAAACCCACTGGCCACAGGAAAAAGATGAGGGAGGCCTTTTACACCCTAAATATTTACAGCCTTGGAAACTCATAGGGTCCCTGTGAGTCTCTGATATTTCCATTTGTGTTTGTTTACACTGGAGAAAGATACTGAGACGTATGTGTGTTTAAAGAATTTGATTTGCCCAGCTTCAAAACATACATGTTAGCATCTTTCGTTTCTTACTCTCATCCTTTTTAAAACTCGAAGCTTTTCTCTCCGTTTTTCCCTCTGCTTTAACCCCTTAAATAAAAGAGAGATAATATAAGCTTGATAATTATACTGATATTAGACTGTCAATTAGAAATCCTGCTAGTGGCTGGTCACTCATGTGCTTTGACATTTCTTTTATCCTTTAGGCTTACTGTGGATTTGTCCGTCCTGGAGTTTCTTCAGAGAATCTTTCTGCAGTGGCCACAGGAAACTGGGGCTGTGGGGCCTTTGGAGGTGATTCTAGATTAAAAGGTGAGCGAATTATCATTGGAGAAAATTTTCCCTCAAACCAAATTTCCAGTGTTCTACCATAAAAGATATCACAAAGAAAAATATTTATCACCACCTGTTTTTTTCTTACTGTGCACAGTGCCATGGGAGTCTAGACTGGGAGAGAGGCAGTGGTGTAGGTCAGAAAGCATTTGGTTTTTATGGTAGATAAAAACCTTAGGCAGGCTGGGGTCTCTGTTTTTACTGTGAATTGAGTGAAGGTTTACAGGCAGGATCATCAGCTTTACCTCCACCAAATGATACACTTTGTTTCACCTTCATGATTACAATCCCTTCCCTGCAACAACAGTTATCTTCCTTCCTTCCTGTGGCTTCCCTTTGCATCTTATATTTCACAAATGAGCAAAGCAAAAATATTTGATGTGTAAGTACAAAACAAAATATATATTCATTTAAATGTCCAAAGGGCACCTTCTGTAAGCCAGTCTCCTGCCTGCAGCCTTACTCCGTCTATGGGCCTGGTGCCTGCAGCTGCTCCGTCTCTCCACGCCACCACCTCTGCCACTGTTGCTGCTGTCACCGCTTTTCTAGGTCGGATCTCACGCTCCACTCATGCTCTTCCTTCTTGCTGATCCTAGGATTGTCTGTTCCTGAAATGACTGATAACTTCTCCCCCTTTTTATTTACTCATCTTCTACAATTGCAGTTGTGACCATCACAATTTAATCCTGTTAACAACTACTCGTAATTTAATCATAAAATCCTATCAGCATCATCCCCTGTCCCCTTTCACGTGATCCATCTGGAAAGGAGGAAAACTGTTCAGTTTTACCCTCCTCATTCTGAAACTAAGCACACTGATGAAAGCTTGTAAGCCGGCCATGTCATGCCTTTATAGCCCCCTCCACATTTTTTTTTTTTTTTTTGATGCCCAGTGTGTAAATTGCCCATCCCTATCAACCAGATGGGAAGAACATGTTCAGCATTTCTCAGGCTAAGGGAACTGAAGGAAAAATTCAAACATCAACTTGTGTTATTGAAGGATTCTATGGGCAAAATACTGAATGATGAAGAAAGCATAAAAGGAAGATTGAAGGAATACGCTGAGTCACTATATCAAAAAGAAATGGTCAGTAGTCAACCATTTCAATAGGTATCATATAATCAAAAGCCAATGATTCTGAAGGTGCATTAAAGTTATTGGCAAAGAACAAGGCACCGAGGATTGATGGAATACAAATTGAAATATTTTAACAAAGTGATGTGGCACTCGAGGCATTTATCTATGCCAAGAAATTTGAAAAACAACTACGTGGCCAACTGGAAGAGATCTATATTTGTGCCCATTCCAAAGACAGTTGACCCAGTGAAATGTGGAAATCATCAGATCATATCATTGATATCCCATGCCAGTAAAGTTTTACTAAAAATAACTCAAAAACAGCTGCAAGCATACATTGATAGAGAATTCCAGAGGTTCAAGCCGGTTTCAGAAGAGGACTTAGAACAAGGGATATCATTGCTGACGTCAGATGGATCTTGGCTGAAAGCAGAGAATACCAGACAGATGTTACTTTCATTTGTGTGACTCATGACAAGCTATCGACAATATTGTGAAGTATGCGTATTCCAGAACACTTGATAGTGCTCATGAGGATTCTGTATATAGACCAAGAGACAGAACATGAGAACACCAAATGGTTTAAAAGTAGGAAAGGTGTGTGCCAGGGTTATATTCTTTCGCCATACTTATTCAATCTGTATGCGAAACAAATAATACAAGAAGCTGGATTATATGAAGAAGAACATGGCATCAGGATTTGAGGAAGGTTCATTAGCAACCTGCGATATGCAGATGAAACAACCTTACTTGCCGAAAGCAAAGAGGACTTAAAGTACTTATTGATGAAGATCAAAGACCACAGCCTTCAATATGGGTAATGTAAAGAAAACAAAAATCCTCACCAGTGGACCAATAAACAGCATCCATGTAAATGAAGAAAAGATTGAAGTTGTAAATGACTTCATTGTGCTTGGATCAAGCATCAACACTCATGGAAGCAGAAGCCAAGAAATCAAACAGCATATTACATTAAGCAAATCTGCTGCACAAGACCTCTTTAAAGTGTTAAAGATCAAAGATGTCAGTTTGAGGACTAAGGTGTACCTGACCCAAGCCATGATATTTTCAGCAACCTCATATGAATGTGAAAGTTGGACAGTAAATAAGGAAGACCATAGAAGAATTGATGCAAAAGAGTTATGGTGTTGGAGGACAATATTAAAGCACCATGGGCTGCCAAAAGAACAAACGAGTCTGTTGGAAGAAGTACAGCCAGAATGCTCCTTGGAAGCTAGGATGACCGGACTTCATCTTTCATACTTCGGACATATTGTCAGGAGGGACCAGTCACTGGAGAAGGATTTCATGTCTGGTAAAGTGGAGGGTTGGAGAGAAAGAGGAAGACCCCCAATGAGATGGATTGGCACAGTGGCAGCAGCAATGGGTTCAAACAATACGTAGCAATGATTGTGAGGTTGACCCAGGATTTGTTATGCATAGGGTCACTGTGAGTCTGCACTGACTCAATGGTACCTAACAACGACCTAACATCATCCCAGTACACTGATAGGAAAACTCCTTCCATTCCCGTTGGAATTTTGAGCAACTGCATCCATCAGCAAAAGTCCAGTTCACCAAATTGAAGCACTTTAAATTTGCTCACAGTATCAAGAATCTGTATTTTCATCTGGTCGAGTTCTGGTCAGCTAGCCATCCAAGCTAGGTCATTTAAAAGACAACAAAGAAAGAAAAGACCAAAATTGATGTCAGATTACATTCTGAAACTTGCTCATTTTCAAGAGAAGCTAAAGTGACTTGAAGAAAAGAGAAAGTGTGGACAGGAAATTTCAAAGGGCAGCTCAGAAAGACAAAGTAGTGCAGTGAAGCGTGGGATGACCCAGAGTTAGGAAACCAAAAGGGAAGAACATGCTCAGCATTTTTCAACCTGAAAAATTTGCAAGCCTCAGGTTGCAGTATTGAAGGATTCTGTGGGCCAAATGGAGTCCGGGTGTGGCACTGTAGGATAAGCACTGGACTGCTGATGTGAAATTCAGTGATTCAAACCCTCCATCCAGTCCTTGGAAACCTTACGTTGTTGTTGTTAAGTGCCGACCCATAATGACCCTGTATAGGGTTTTCAAGGGGCAGCTGGTGAGCTTGAACCACCAACCTCATAATTCAAACGGCTTTGGTGCATTAACCCACAGCTTCTGGTGCATTAACCCACAGCGCCACATCAAGACTCCCATACAGGATCACTATTAGAGCATACTAGACCGCATGGCAAATCACTGAATGATGTAGGAAGCATCAAAAGAAGATGGAAGGGTACACAGAGTCCCTGTACCAAAAAGAATTGGCAGTGCCTAACTATTTTAAGAACCAAAAGTATTAAAGGGAGAATTCCAGCTACACTAAAGCATTGGTGAAAAACAAGCCTCCAGGTATTCAAGAGTTACAAATTGAAATGTTTCAACCAACTGATACAGCAATCTTCTAACAATATTATTAATATCACTTGAAAGTAAAATTTTACTGACAGTAACTCAAAATGGTTTCAACAATACATCAACAGGGAGCAGCCAGATATTCAAGCCAGATTCAGAAGAGGATTTGGAACTAGGGATAGCACTGTTGATGTCAAATGGATGTTGACTAAAAGCAGAGAATACCAGAAAATTGCATCATGCCTGATACAGTAGAGGGTCAATGAAAAAGAGTAAGCCCCCAAGGACAGTGCAGGACCAGGCACCATTGTCATTGTGTAATACATGATAGCTGTGAGTTGGAACTGACTCAACGACACCTACCAACAACAACAGTCATAACTATGTAGTGCTGTTGTCATTCTGACGCATAGCAACCCCATATAGGGTTTCCCCGGAGTGGCTGGTGGGATTGAACAGCTGACCTTTCAGTTAACAGTCCAGTGTTTACCCTACACTTTCACAGCAGTAGTGTTAAGAAATAGTATTCATTTAGTTGTCATGTATTGTAGGTATTTTCTGTTCCGTTTTTTTTTTTCATTTGTTTCCAGCTGTTGGGTTTTTATGTGTTCAGACTTTTATCACATGCTTAGAGAAATCTTCACTATCCCCTATTCTAATGACTGTCTTCCACATTTTATTCAAGCTCAAAAATAAAAATTTTAGCATTTATCTGTTTTGTTTTTTTTTTAAGTCCATAAAGAAACAATTCCTGGCTTTTTATTTTCTGAAATTTCTTATCATCCTGAATTTATTTGAGGAAGCCTATTTTTCACTCTGGGCTTATTGATCTTATGACAGACAGTTTTTTTCTGTTTTCCTCTTAAATAAAATGAATGACTAGATTCTTGTCATCAATCCCCAAACCAAGTTTGCCATAAGCCTTGGTCATTCTTGATGGACAATTTGAGAAGCTTTATAAATGTATTGGTTGCTTTTCTTTGCTTTATAACATAAAAGCCTTGTTCTCAGATTGCAGCTTTGCCTCTATTGGAGACTATTAAGTATAATACTCAAATATTTGTATTATGTAATTCATTTATATAAGTTATTGAGATGTTTTGAATTTTTGGAGTGGCTTTTTGACAACTCCCTCTCCTTCATAACTTGAGTAATCATTAAAAATTAGAAGACATTATAATGTCCTTCAGTGAGGAATAGTTACTAAAATTGTGATTTTTAAGAAGAAAGAAATTATGGTACATCTGTCTAATAGCATATTATGTAGCCATTAAAAACCAATGCCAAAACACATCTACTGACATGAAAGGACAGTATTAAAATATTGCCAGATGGTATGAAAACCTCATATATGCCATATAAATCACCTAAAGATTAATTTATGAATATGTAATATCATGCACAAATTCAAGGTTCTCTGTGTACTTTATTTGCAAACAAATATATGCACAGGGCACACTTTTTTGCTAACTGTATAAACACCAATACCCTACCATAGCCACACCCTGTGT